ATAATTCCCACTAGCCGATTCGAACGACTGGCCTCGTCATTGTTTAATCAAAGATTTACTAGTGACGCGCTCTACCACTGAGCTAAGCGGGAGTTACGATACAGTCAGGAAACTAGCCTATGTTCGAGGATGGAGCTATCCCTACTGCACACCCGTTATACTGCTAGGGCCGATTATTTGAGTGCTAACTGCGTGGGAATCATGAGATTATACCTTGACCGAGAGATGATCGCGGTCGCGTGGTATTACTTCTTATGGGCTACAGCAATCGTCGCCCTTGTGAGGTCTCTTGCATTGGGCTTTTCGTTCTCTCGATAGGCCGAGCGCTTCTGCCATTTGCTCACCAAGTTGTCCCCGCACCCGTGCTCGAATCGGGGCGGAAACCGTTTAGTCCCTTTTGAGCTTGATTTGGCATCCTGAGACAATTGAATATTGGCCGCTTGCGGGCACCCTATGGAGGCACTGTCTCGATAATATCATGCTACTCTCAGGGTATGCTCGTTTTTGCCTCGACTTAATCTTAGGCTGCGTGTACCTATTAATGTGTCGGCTATTGCAATGGGATGGGACACCTGACATGTCACAGCCACGACAGCGCTTACAGCACCACATTTGCGCTCAACTTCCATGTCTGACACTCCAACCCCCATTTTCAAGCGGACGAAATCACGACCGAACCGCGCTCGTCCACCTTCTCCAGAGCCCGAAAATGATGCTAACAAGGAGGAATCTAGCCCAGGGGCAATGAGTCTCATGACCAAGTTCAAGAGCAAACAAAAGGCTCGCGCAAAGTTGAGTTTTGGACAGGATGAAGAGGTGAGCGATCGTGAATCCCTCGAGAAAAGTTCTGATTTAGTTTGGTCTGGGGCAGTATGGGTCGGAAGGGACGACTCCTAGGAGACAAGAGTCTGGGAGAAAGAGCAAGTTGGCGAATCCTGCCGCGTATGTTACATACCGTTCCTATGTGTAGATGTCTAACTTGATTACAGGATCCGAATGCCAGATTCACTCGAGCAGGCTTCTATCTCGGCGAGGACGAGCTCCGGCCCTGTGTACGACAAAGCGTATCTAGATGAGCTCAAAGCAGCCACATTGTCAGCGCCTGCTGCGCCTACACAAGACGTAGAAATGACATTGGACATTGACGAAGCGGAAGGAGCCGTGCTGGTTGAAAGCGTCCTCGATGCAGGCGACGTTTTCGACAGTAAGTTTATCTCAGTAACTCATGTCCAATTCCTACTCACGTTTTCGTGATCAGGGCGTCCAACTGAAATACCAATGTCTTCTGTAGTACTCGAAGCAAAAAAGAAACGCGAGCGCATGCGTGTCACGGGCAAGACGATACCTCAAGAGGATTTTATATCATTGTCTGTGGCGCGGCGCGATGATATGGAGATAGACCAAGGGCCTCATCCTGAGAGCCGCCTAATGCGAGAGGAGGACGACTTGGGGGAAGGCGATGACGACGACGCAGAGTATACTGGCGCACAGGAGCGAGTCGCATTGGGAAAGAAGGGCAAGAAGGAAGCAGAACGACGGAGAAAAGCGGGGATGATTGAGATGATTGAGGATGTGTGAGTAAATCCGCTGGTTTCCATGGCATGAGCTGATTTGGTGTAGGGAAGAGGACGACGAGGAGACCCAAGCTTGGGAGCTGGCGCAGGTTCGAAGAGGCGGAAACAACAACCGTACTTTGATTGTGGAAGAAAAGCAGGTTTACAAGCCACATCCGAGTACGTGTCCCTATTTGGCCTGTGCTCACAACTAACCTGCTATTCAGTCCCGGCTCAGGTTCCGGTGCCCACATTGGACCCTGCCATTGCTCGCCTATCGCAAGCCCTCACCAAGTTAACCACGTCGCATGCCGTTAACACCAAGTCTCTGACTTCCCTGGGGGACGAACGTACGTCTCTCGAAAAACAAGAAGCGAGGTTACGGGATCTTGTAACCGAGGCGGAGGAGAAACGTGCTTGGTTTAGCAGCTTCAAGGAGTGGGTGGATAGCTTGGCTGACTTTTTGGACGAAAAGGTTTGTGGTTTACTTTTCTGCATACCGCGACGCTGACATTTGCAAAGTTCCCAAGAGTCGAGAAGATCGAAGAAGATTTCATCTCACTTCACACTGAACGTGCTGAAATGTTGGCAAAACGACGCCAGGAAGACCTCGGAGACGATCTCTCGCTCTTCCTCGGGGCTCCGAGTGACGAAACTGAAATGGAGCAGGTTGACGACCTCGGACGAACCCTTCCCAGCTCCTCGGCCCCGCAATCCGCCGTTCGTCGCGCTCGTCGCGCGGCGCGGCAATCTCGAAGAACCAAACGCACTGGCGGGAGTCCCCATCCCGACGAGGGGTATTCCACTGATGGGTCACTTGGTTCTGATGACGAAGGTGATTTTGAAGTTGCGGTGAAACGGTGCCGGGAGCGTGCGGTGGATGTGTTTGCAGACGTAACGTCGGAGGAGTTTCGGGACCCCCGAAAAGGCGTTGCGAGGTGGTTTGGAAAGTGGAGGAGCACATGGGGGGAAAGCTACAGGGGCGCGTGGGGCTCGCTCGGGGTGGTTGGTGCCTGGGAAATGTGGTGTAGGTTGGAGATTTGCTTGTGGGACCCCATGGTGGTGCGTGTTTCCTTCCAACTCTATCCAGCGACTTATGGATCGTAAATGCAGGATCGCCGCTCGCTCGATGAATTCAGGTGGTACAACTCGCTGCATAACTTTTCACGCCCAGTAAACGACGCGGATGAACCAATCGAGCCCACGCCTGACGAAGACATGGTGCTATCAATGGTAGCAACAGCTGTTATTCCTCGAGTGGCCAAGCTTATCCAGTGTGGTGCTTTGGATCCGTATAGCGCGAAGCATGTGAGGCGATTGAAGGATCTAGCGGAACAGATCGAGGCGACGCTCGAGGCGGATGCGGCCAAAATAGGCGTGCTTCTTGGTGCTTCTATCGTGCCATTTCGCAAGGCCGTGGATGATGCACAGGTTCAGGTCGGGCCCTACCTTGCTCCATCCCAAGCCCCGCCACCTTTTGATCCGGAGTCCGTCCCTGCGCGAGTGAGGTACCTTTCAAAGATGAGTAAGTTGTTGGCGAATATACTCGCGTGGAGAAAATACACAGGAGAGAAGTATGGAATCGGGGAATTGATTGAGCGGTTATTGGGACGTGTTATGCTTCCTGTCGCGGAGAGTGGATGGGAGGTTGGCGGACAGGATGTCATGCGCAAGGTGTGTGGTTTGCTACTTGAAATGTTTGGTGCTGACAGCGGCTGTTAGGCCATAGTTGGTGTCCCCACAGAGTGTATACCCCAGGATGTGATATCTAGGCTCGGATGAGCGGCGATTGTTTGTCGTCAGTGGAGATCTGTTACGAGACGGCAAGTACAATAAGATGTCTTTCCCGAGAGCGTCTCAGCAAAGGCACTTTCACGGCTCTTGCCTATTCTACAAAGTTGCCTTGATTGTGCTCCCGGAGATCAATCCGCGAAGCAATCATGACCCGCCGGCTTGCTACTCTCCTGTAACATGCCATAGCTGGTGTGGCTCGTTCTACTGTCGCATATCTCGTAGTAATGATATAATCATGAGGTATTGAAATGGTTGCAATTGGTTTTGAATTAGCAGCTAGTGTGGGCTTGTTGATCCATTGCTTCACGACTCTCTCTTAGCAGCCACACCCAGTCTTTTTTCTTGACTACCAAGTTAGCCTATAAATTCCCCCTCTTGTACGTACATCCCGGCCTCACTCTCTATCGTAAAGTCTGACTGATCCCGCGCGCAAAGCGTAAAAACCCGCTCCCTCATATATATACCATGTCTGGCTGGAAACTCGGCAAGAGTACGTCGCCTTCGCGTGTTTTCTGCGCCGGCTAACCCCTCACAGAGATCAAAGAGGCAACGGGCTCAAGCTCGAAAGCCTCACTTGGCACATCCCCCGCCCCCTCGTCGCGTTCGACGACCCCGACACCCGGGAACCCCTCCCCATCTGGCCCCGTGGCGCGCAACGGCCTTTTGCTGATCAACGTCCTCGCCGCGCGGGGGCTCACGCTCCCGGCGGGGGTGTCGATGCCCCCTGCGGTCGAGAAGGCGCTCAACTCGCAGCAGGCGCAGATCGCGGCGAGCGTGACCTCGTCCAGCGTCTCGCAGCGCCAGCAAGCCTCGCGTGGACACAAGACGCGTGACTCGATGCAGCGAAAACAGTGCTGGTGGCTGCCCTATGGTGAGTCTCGTCATAGACCGGTTTTTTCGTCGACTGACGCCAGCAATAGTCGTCTTGGAATTCGACAAGAACGAGGTCCTGATCGACGCGCTTGGTGGAGAGATTGCTGCCCCAGTGTGGATGTATCAGACTAATTTGTGAGCGCGCTACTGTCCATTTTTCTGGGCCGGGGTTAACAATTGGGGCTCAACCCTTGTAGCGACGTTTCGCGTTCCTCGGAGATTTCCTTACAGATTTATTTGCGCTCTGGCTCGAGCACTGCGACTACAAACGGGAGCGATGACATGGGTAAATCCGACTTGTTCTTGGGCAATGTCAAGCTCACACCCGACTTTGAGTACATGGTAAACAGTCAACTGCGATTGCTGAGTGACGCTCACCGATTATTCTAGGGCGTCAAAGACGAGTGGCACGACCTGGTCGGCGGCCCCGGCCAGATCAACGTCCAAGTTTCATACAAGCAGCAACACGTATGTTCTATGGCACAGGGCTCGAGGACAATCTGATAATGGTAACCTCAGGACACTGCTCTCACAATCGATTCCTTTGACCTTCTAAAGGTTATTGGAAAGGGAAGCTTCGGAAAGGTATTTTGCTTCCATTACTCCGGCGCGATGTAAAACATATTCATTCCTGTTAGGTCATGCAAGTGCGCAAGCGCGATACATCCCGCATATACGCTCTCAAGACCATTCGGAAAGCCCATATTGCGTCAAGAGGCGAAATTACGCACACTCTTGCCGAACGAACAGTCCTTGCACAGGTTTGTTTATTGCCAAGACTGTTTCTCCGGCTTACCCAGTTGGTCGTTTCAGGTCAACAATCCATTCATTGTACCTCTTAAATTCTGCTTCCAGTCGGAAGCAAAACTCTA